AAAGGTATCCCCTTCAGTAGTAATATGAAAACCATAGAACTGGGGTTGAACTTTAACCCTACTGAAACATCTAAGAGGCAAGGACTCGTCAATTGGTTCAACAGGAGTTTCCCCCTCGGGTTGAGTGCCAGTGTTAGAAGTTCCTTCATCACTCTGTTCTTGAATCTTTTCAAGATTAATTTGCCTCCCACTGTCCTTTTGGCCTATGAGTTCTCTTTCTCGGAATACCCCTCTTCTCGCAACGAAGACAACATTGTCACTCTGTCTGTAGAAGTGATAGCCAAAAGACTTGTGTAGATATCCAATGAAATAACACTTCTCACTACGAGGTTCGAGCTTGTCATGAGTTTCTCATCTTACGAAAGCCTCGCAACCCCAAAACTTGATATGTGCAAATGAGGGAGCTTTCACTGTCCACATCTCGAAAGGTGTTTTGGCAACCTTCTTGGTGGGAACTAGGTTAAGGATATGGGCGGGAGTCTCTAAGGCATACCTCCAGAAAGCTATTGGTAACGAATCTTGACTCATCATAGAACGAACTATCTCCAACAAGGTTCGATTATGTCACTCAGCCGCACCATTCAATTGTGGCATTCTCAGAGGCATCAGTTGCGAAACAATCTGCATTCCTTTAGATAGTCGTGAAACTCAAGACTTAGGTACTCTCCTCCTCGGTCTGACCAAAGCATCTTGATTTTTCTGCCCACCTGATTCTCCACTTCATTCTTAAACTCTTTGAACTTTTCAAAGGTTACACACTTAGGCTTGATTAAGTAGATATATCCATATCTGCTATAATCATTCGTAAAAGTCACGTACAAGCGGCAAGCATCCCTTGTGGTGGATCTAAAGGGCCCACACACATCGGTATGTATGAGATCCAATAAACCCTCACCCCCATCACAAGCGCCAGTAAAGGGTGACTTGGTTATCTTCCCAAGCAAACAAGATTCACACACGTCATCATCCCTAAGGTCGAATGACTCTAACACTCTATCCTTTTGGAGTCGAGCTATGCGTTACTTGTTGGCATGACAAGGCGACAATGCCATAAGCATACTTTGTCTAGACTATTAGATGAATCAATATTCAAAACATCATTTCCTAAGTTGTCTACAACCAACATAGATTCATATATTCCACTACAAGGAAATGCATTGAAATAAAAAACACCATTCAAATAAACATTAATAGAACCATTACTATTATCAAATGAATATTTGAAACCCTGTCTATATAATCCATGAAAAGAAATAATGTTATTTTCCATATCGGGCGAATAACAACAATTATTTAAATCTAATCCTAACCCATTACCCAACACTAAAGAATAAACTCCAACTCTGGTCATAGGTGACAATCTTCTGTTTCCCATAATCAAGTTTATCTTCCTATGCTCCACCTCCCTACTTCTTCTTAGGCCCTGCAAATCAGAAAAAAATGTGGAAACCACATCTTGTATCAAGAACCCATGAAGTAGTAAGTGATGAGTTATTAGATTTAATAGAATACATACCTATGAAAGTGGGCTTTATCTTCCCATCCTTCATGTCCTGTAGATATTTAGGGCAGCTTTGTTTCCAATGGCCCTTCTTGTGAAAATAGAAACACTCTGCTTCCTTCGGGCCAGAGGAGGGTTTAGTAGAACCTGCTTTGGTCCCACTAGAGGATGAACCATCATGGGGATTTCCCTTTTGGTAGCTCTTTGAAGGAGCCTTCCTCTTCTTTCCCATCCCTTGACCAATTTCCAACACAGAAGCAGCCACGATAGGGTCTAATGCAACAGATTTTTCCTTGAGGTTGCTCTTAGTACTCCTTAGCAGTCCTTGAAGCTTACTCAAGGAGACCTCTTCCTTATTCATGTGGTAGGTCATTCTGAAATGGTTGTAGCAGGAAGGCAAGGAGTGGAGGATGATGTCGATAGCCAAATCCTCATCAAACTTAACATTAAGTTTGAGAAGACGATCAACATACCTCTGCATTTTCTGCAAATTAGAGGTTAGGGATTCTCCACCCCCATCTTAATGGTGATCATGTTAGTAATGATCTCATAACGCTCTTGCCTCGTGCTTTGGTGGTACCTGTCCAACAAATCTTGATGCATCTCATATAGATACATGTCCTTATAGGACTTTTGGAGTTCGAGGTTCATGGTGGCCAGCATGATGCAATGAAATTTCGTAGCATCACACTCGGGGGCCTCAAAGGCGTCCAACTCTTCAGGAGTAGCAACATTTGGGTTAATCTTTTCAAGTTTCTCATCAATTACATATTCTTTGTCCTTGTAGCGAGTGATCATACGAATGTATCTCATCCACTCGTTGAAATTTGACCCATCAAATGTCACCTTTTGACATAGGTTCATTAGCGAGAATCACCCAGAAGTGTTGTTGTTGTTAGCAGACATTTGAAAATAGAAAGGAACAAAATTTGATTAGAAATGAATCCCCAATTAAACACCCAAATAAAAAATTTGGGCTAGGATCCAACAAAATTATTCACAACTTAGAAAAGGGATGTCGTAATCTAAATGTAAATCATTTGAAGGTAAGTGAATAACGATTCACGAATTTCCACTATGAAAAACAAAAGGATATTAAGTTTTAAATGTATTTGAAAACTCCTAGATCTTTGAGATTCATTGAACTTTTCAATGGCATGTTTAAATCGCGATATTCCCTTCAAGTTTGTGACTGGGATACCGAGGATCACAAACAAGGTGTGAATAACCATGCGAATCGACATGGTGCACTCAATGTTACTATCACCTAGTCAATGTGCCGGTTATCCACAAACGCTCCATTGATCTATGATAAAGATCAAACCACCCTTCGCCAACAATGTCAACCCAAAATTAGTGTGCCGGTTAACCACACACGCTCCACTAATGTTTGAAAAGGGTATGAAGTGTAATTCCATGGAATAACATCATTTTCACATTTTACCCTAAAGTAACTAATATTGGGAATTTGTAAAATACATTGCAGTTACTTTGTATCATTCATTATAATTTTAACGAGGAGAGGATTTCCCTGTCCTACCTGTTTGACTAACGACCTCCACCAATCAAGGAAGCGGTGGGTAAGAGTGGATACCTATTAAACGACCATTTTATAGGCCATAACCTTATACCCCCTTATAGATCGACTTCGTGAATGAGACCTACTAACGGTAAGACTAGCACTTTAAGTTATACATATATATTAATTAATTTGGTAATAATATAATAGTTTAGGGTTGAATTTTAAACTTGTAAAATTATACGGGTTTGAAATTTAAATCATTCAAAATTAAACTTTTAATCATAAAATTTAAATTTCAAAACTTCAGGACGAGTTTTGAACTTTTTCAAAACACAAATGATCAAATAACAAAAAACATAAAGTAAACAATTAATTTTTGTGATTATCTATATTTGACCTAATCTAATTTTATTCACAAGATAATTACCAAATAATTTAAACAATCAATATTTATCATATAAAGAAATTATTACTCAAATGATTTGAAACTATTTTTTGTTTTGGTAAGGCTAATCATTTAAATACAACAAAATTTGGATTTTATTATTAAAAAATAATTTTGGCATTTATCCTTAAGCAAAACTGCAAGAAATCCCGAGATATGCTCTGTCTGACTCCTGGACTCGCCGAGTTGGGCAGACTCGCCGAGTCCAGATACTGACTTGCCGAGTCGGATCGGGCAAAGGCTAGAATAATTTTCACCAAAAACCCGACAAACACCACACAAGCAAGAAGGCAATTATGAGAGAGGAGGGAGGATGCTAAAATCGGCCCTAGGGTTTCTCTTGGAATCAAGTGGCCAAAAATTGCAAGTGGCGGTCTCTATTTATATTGTAGGCTGCTAGGGTTTCTGGTAAAACCCTAATGGACAACTTAATCACCAAGCAACCTATGGAACCTTCTGGAATCATCTAAAGAACCCGAAATGATAACAAAACCCTAACGTACACATGTTCGAATACCCAGGCCCTCAACCATCGAGTTGGAATGCCAACATACTATGGGTCCAGTCAACCATTGGGTTGGAATACCCTAGTCCCTCAACCATCATGTTGGAATTCCCCATGCCCTAAACCATCATGTTGGAATGCCAACATAATATGGGTTCAGTCAAACATTGGCTTAGAATACCCCAGGTCCTCAACCATTGGGTTGGAATGCCAACATACGATGGGTCCAATCATCCCTTGGATAGAATACCCTTGGGCCCATTTAACCATCGGGTTGGAATCCACCGACATGTTGGCTTACACACAGATCACTGAACCCACAATTAACAACCAAACATGTGCACATATAATTGATAATCATATAACAGTCTACAGTCGGATAAAGATATCTACAGATCACTGAGCATAGCAACATCCTATCTACTAGGATATCGATCTAATGGATCTTAACAACATAACAACATCCTATCTACCAGGATACCGATCTAACAGATCATAATAGCGCAACAACATGCATAACAGTATGTCAATCCAATGGACCAGCATTAGTTCCTTTGACTCGCAAGTACAATGAGGACAACTCACCTCAATCTGCTAATACGCAAATGACTGCTTGCACCGTCGAACCGGACAACCCTGTGCCAACTAACCACAAACAAAATCCCAATTAGTATTTATGCCATAGTCCATTAACCGTGGTATCAACTCATAAGTCTCGACTCCTAGAGTAAAAGACCTTTTACCCTTTCCTTAATAGGCCCAACCCATACTTGGCCCAAGTCCCACTAATGGCCCAACAACACAACCTGAGCCCCAAACTAAACCTAAGGCTCACTCAAAGTCTCGAGGCCACAACCAGAGCTCAATCTAGATAATTCATAGCCCAAAGAAACAATCCAGCCCAACCGAAGCCCGTTTCAAAGAATCCAAGTCCATAAAGCCCAATACTCATCTGATCAGACATACGTACGACATACGTTGCCGGTTCTAAAACGGGAATCATAGTCGGAACGTTAAGTGTTCCCTAATGGTATGTGGCTTTAACCCTTTGCATGGCTTAATGAAGCGCAACACCAAAGGTGAACTCCAAAGGTCCAAATCACTCCAAAATGTCTTAAAAACTCCTTAATACCTTAAGTCCTAAGTCCACACTTCCAGATCTAATTCAAAGGGACTTCTTAAGTCATAAAGTTCCTGACTTAATGACTTAGCATGAGCCAATGGGACCCAAATAAAAACCCTAAGTCCCAAATTTCACTAAGAGGGTATTTGTTTTTTCTCTGCAGATCTGCGTGGCCTCTTCTCTCTGCAAGGTGCAGACATAAAGGCTTGTAGTGCATTTGTTTTTCTGAAGTGCGTAGACATAAAAACATCTGTGCGAGGTCTTCACCACACAGATATGGGCTAGCCTCTTCTAAAGTCTGCGAATGCCTTTGACCAAAGAAAAAAAAGCGTTTCTTTTTGTTTCTGCCTCCATTCGTCCAAACCTCCCATATTCGTAGGCAGAACCTTCGAAAACTCCATCTTCACTCCAGTAACCTTAGTCGATTGTCACCTTCGATCAGCATCGCCCGTCGCCACCCTCCTCTCCGATTGTAGGCGTCCAGGCGACATCTTCAATTGCAGCGAATAGCGAGCGAAAAGGATTGTTGTCACCTCCTCTCTCTGTCAATTTCAATTTCAATTCGATTTCTTGTTTGATTCGCATCCTTGTTTCCCCGAAAATCTTGTAGGTCTATAATTTATCATATATTCTTGCTAAAATTGAAAATACTACCTGTAAACAAGTTCCCAGCAAATTGAAAATCTTACCTGTAAACAAATTGGATCTATAATTTTCTTTGATTGGAAGCCAATATACATAACTTCCAAGCAAAAGATAACATATTCTTTTGTTAATTGTGTATGTGTATATGATTGTTGATTGTGTATATGTATATGATTGTTGATTGTGTATATGTATATGATAGTGTATATGTATATGATAGTGTATATGTATATGATAGTGTCTATGTATATGATTGTTAATAGTGTATATGTATATGATAGAAAGCATTAAAACGAGTCATAAGTTTTGTTTATTTGATAGAACTAAAATGGAAAACTCATGAGATGTTTGGATATGTGTTGGTACTAATGATTTTGATTTATAAAGTTTTTTAGAAAACTTTGAATTGAAACACTCTAATGCAGGTTAGAGTTGAATAAAAAGTTTCACATTATTATGATTGAAAATAAAAGAAAATTACAAATTTACCCGTGTGCGTTAATGTAATATTTTATTCAAATAATGTTGTGAAAATAAAACAAAATTACACATTATTATGATTGAAAATAAAACAAAAGTACAAATTTACCCTTTCAATTTCCTAAATAGGTAGCCCTTTTCGATTTGTGGATGATATAAGTTGCCTAGACTGTGTTGAAATCAAGTTTTTTCTTGAAATAATGTTATGAAATAATGACATTAGTTGTTGACTGTTTATTGTTATTTGGTTTTGTAACTACTCTTTATTATCTCAAACCATTATTTTTTTGTTGGAATGTGTATGTTATGTAATACCTTATTAAATCATATTTTTCTATGTTATACTAGTTATTAGAAATGGGAGAAAAACAACAATGAACCAATGAGCATTTAAAATGCTTATTTGATACTTGTATTAAAGAAGTAGAGAGTGTTGGTAGAAAAGGATTGAGTTTGCAGATAGATTCATGGATAAGTCTTGGAAGAGTTCTTAAAGAGAAATTTGGGGTTAACTTGACTCAAAAACAAATGAAAAACGCATATGACAATCTAAAAGCCAAATACACTAGATGAGTATATTTAAAAAACAAAACTAGTAATATATAGAATTCTCAAACAAACACTTTTATATTAACAGCCGAGGAGTGGGATGATTTTAAGAAGGTACATATATATATATATATACATATATATATATATAACATTTACATTTGAAGTTGCCAAATATTCTTATAATATTTTTTGTTACATTTTGGTTTAAGGGCATCTGAAAGCTGATTCATTGAGAACAATTCGACTGCTTTTTATAGATCTTTGTGCACGTCTTTTTGATGGAAATAGTGCCATAGGTAATTTTAGGAGTTACTCAACCCAATCATCATCAGTAGCTGGAGCATCCTCCTATCGTGTTCCACCACTTCAGATCACCGCCACCCCTTTTCATGCAATAGATAGTGATGGTGTTGACATTTCCCATCATGATCCACCACCTTCTGCTGCTTCACCTTCTGCGGCTTCACCTTATGTAGCTTCACCTTCTGCTGGTTCACCTTCTACTACTTCACCATATATTGCTTCACCATCCGGTAACCCCAACAAAATGGCTAAATCCTCAACTCCTATAGCTCTTAGTGCCTCACCGTCTTCTTCTTCACGTGATGGAACATCTATTACTGTTGACGATTTAGCATTTGAATTGAAAAAATCTCTACAAATTCTGACTAAAGGGTATACAATTCCTCAATGTTTAGAGAAATTAGAGGTGCTTCTATTAGGCCCTATAGATCCTTTACGCTTTGTCGCATATCATATTTTTGGAGGGACCATGAACATGAGAGAGATATGGATGCACTTTCCCGATGTTCCTGAGATATTACAAGGACGACTTGAGATGACGGGTACAAGTTTAGGAGTTTTGAAGGATGGAAAGATTGTCCAAAGATTTTCTAGTGTTGAAACTATTTGTTAGGTCTTTTTGCCTTTGTTGGAACTATTTTGTTAGATGTTTTTGCCTTTGTTGGAACTATTTTGTTAGGTCTTTTTACCCCTGTTGGAACCATTTTTTTGTTATTTTGCTACTTGGAATATGGTTTATGTAATGTTTTTTTGGTACTTGAAATATGATTAATGTAATGTTTATTTGCTACTTGAAATATGGGTTATGTAATGTTTTTTTTGCTACTTGAAATATGGTTTATGTAATGTTTTTTTTTAAGTTCTACTTTGTTGATTTTAGGTTCATATGGATCACGATCAAAAGTTACTTATCGTAATGCTTATGTACCTATACATCCATTATTTTTGGAAGAGGGGTGTGAAACGATTGCGGGATAATGATTCGAAAATGACGGAACATGAATACACATTGGAGTTATTACATCGTAATCGTTTACAATGTGTTGAAGTACTACACATGTCCCGTGACTCTTTTTTACGACTATGTGCTCGCTTTAGAGAAAATTACTCATTAAAGGACAACAAACATGTATCGGTTGAGGAAAAGATGGCTATGTTTTTTATGATGATTGGCCATAATCAACGTTACGTGATTATCAAGAAGAGATTTCAACACTCGAAGCAAATAATTCATAAATTTTTTTATGAAGTGTTGGAAAAAATGATGCTTTTCGCACAAGATGTTATAGTACCAACTTCTTTTAATCTGAATCCAAACATTCCACGCCATAATAGGAGGCTACGTAGGGTTTTTAAAGGAGCGGTTGGTGCACTTGATGGCACTTTGATACATGTTGTTGTCCCTGCTAAGAAACAAGACTTATATAGAAGTAGGGGAAATGGATATTGCTACCAAAACGTATTCGCAATTTGTGGCTTCAATATGATTTTTACATTTTTTGTGGCCGAGTGGGAAGGGGTAGCGCACGACTCTAGAATATTATCAGAAGCAGTAGCCGATCCACAAGCATCGTTCCCATTTCCACCACCAGGTAAGTTTTTTTTTTAAAAATATTTTTATCTTAATTTGAAAATTGATTAGTGTTTTGAATTTTTTTCAGAAAAATATTATCTTTGTGATGCCGTATATGCACACAGTCGAGGATTGATGGACCCTTATCGTAATGTGAGGTATTGGCTTGGAGATTTTCGTCAAAGATGTGCATTGACCAATAAAGAAAATTTTAACCATGGACATCCAAAACTTAGGAATATCATTGAGCGTTCTTTTGGTGTTTTGAAAGCACGCTTCCCTATATTGATGAGGATTGAACCATTCCCGTTTGTGACACAAAGAAACATTGCCATGGCATGTTTTGCGCTTCATAATTATATAAGGAGAGAACGACTGGGTGATGAGTATTTTGCACGATACAATGAACCTAATGTCATGTTTTGAATTAACAATGTGGTCATTGATGATGATGAAGACGGGATTCCAACACATGGTACTGCATCAAACTGTGAATATATGACTCAGTTATGGGATAAAATTGTTGATCAGTTGATGCACAATATAGATTGAATTGTTTTAAATGAAATTGTTATTGTAAAACAATTTTTTTTATTGTATGAATAATTTAGTTGCATGAATTTTATTTTCAATGTTATAAGACTATTATTATTAAAATTTTGGTATTGAAAAATCATTTATGTTTGTAAAATAATTTTATTTAAAATTCAGTTTATTTCAACAGTCTGCAGACGTTAAAAAACAAACAATCTTCTTATTGCAGACTGCAGACGTTTGGTCCACCTCTTCTGCTGCAGAGGCTTATAGATGTGGTCCACAGACTGCAGACATTTTGGCTTCAGAAAAACAAACAGCACCTAAGAGACTACCAAATTACATGGAAGGTTTACACTCATCAAGATCCAAACTTTATGACTTCATAACCTCAACAAATACCCAATATGAAGCTCAAAGGTTCTGGAGTAACTTCTACTCACAACAACCACCTTAAAGTGACCAAAACCATAACAAAATACCACTTAGCTAGATATACATGAAAGAGTTGTCAAGGTTGAGACTTTATACCTCCAGAAGATAGATCTAGATGCACAAGCCCTGGGTCCAAAAGCTCTAAATAAAAAAAAATGACTCTTCAAGAAGTTCCTTCTTCCTCCTCAAGCTCCAAAAACACACAAAATCACCATGATGCTCAAGAAATACTCAAATGGAAGCTAGGTTTTCGTTTTTAGGGTTAGAGAGGATGGAGGCAAAAGGAAATGAGGGTTGGAGGTGAGTTAAGGTCTTTACATAGGGTCCAAGACCCTAAATTAGGGTTTTTATCTAACCTAAAAATGCCTAGAATTCCTAATGACCACCCAACATTTGTCCGCGTCCATTTTCCCATTAACGCCCCGTGTTCCCTCCTGGTACGCCATGCATCCCCAGTTTGGTCCAAAACCCTTCTAACTTCAAACGATCATAACTTTTTCATCCCTTATCCATTTTCGACGTTATTTATATCCATGAAAATGTAACGAGAAGCCCTACACTCCTATTACCTTACTTGTTCTTGAAAACCAATCAAACTCAAAACCAAAATTCATAAAAGTCCCGAACCAATGCATTTACCGATACCCTTAGGCTCCAAAACATAAACGAAAACCCAGATCATCCAAATTAGATCATCCACCTTCAAATGAACCCATACCTCAATTCTCAAGGGTTCTAAGCCTACTAATGCCCACTCTTTGATCAACAGACCGCAATGGGAAATGATTCAAAACAGGGCCTTACAACTCTCCCCCACTTAAATTAGATTTCAACTCGAAATCGCTCCTTACTAACACTCAGATCATACCAAACAACCCGAGGAACGCAACCGAAAAGTATGGGCATACAATAGCCTTCCAAAAGCAATCAACCCAACTCTAGTAGAACTCTTCGACCCTACGAAGACGAATCCATAAAACCACTTATACCAACCCGAAACCTGAAGTCTCAAGTTAGTATGACCCCCATACAGAGCGCCTACACTAAACCATTACCATACCAATTCCACTTTGAATACCAGGCTAAACAGAACACTTCCAGCCCAGATTATCTTGATGCTACTACTAGGAACAAAGTCATTAACGATAAACAATTGTAGAACATTTATACTTGACAGAAGGCTAAGATAATCCTTAGAGTAGAAGATTTTCTCTACAACGGCTAGACTCAAAGGAGAGTTGCGCAAAAGGGTCAAATCAATTACTCTTAGATTATTTAATCCAACCTGCAAGTGATTTAGCATTTCCCGAATAACAAGATACTCCACACACACTAACCCTGAATCACTAATATTGCTCGAAACATCGTGCCGCCTCCTAGCCACTTTCCAAAAGCAGTAGAGACCTCCCTGGTCCCAACTTGTTTGACAACTATCAAAAATACTGGATTCCTATCCAATTGTTGAGTCAAAAGGGACACACACACACACATAGTCTCCTCGTGCAACTTCCGAAAGAAAGCCTCAACTGGCAATAATTATCTAAACCAACTCACCACCAAATCCCATACTAAAATGAATGCTACCTGGCCAACTATAGTCTCATACTATACCCGGACTCCAATCAACCTGTTACTTCCTGATTCCTAAACATGTTGTGCCCCCCGCCGCTCGGTCTTACGAACTAACCCACCCTATTCTAAACCATATCATAACTCAAACCAGCATAAGCATGTACTACCCTTTCTAACTCTGGAAGTTACAAGCTTTCTCACTCTTTCTACGAACTTGAAAAAATTGAAAGGGAATAACCCTTTCCATAAATAACAACATTCCAACCCATCAATCAACTATCCCACTTCCATCTTCCAATACCCAAGCTGATCATAATCATTTCCCCTTTCCTGAGTCCCACGACTCAAATACCCGGCCTCGATCAAACCTCCAAGGCCTCAAACCAATAAGCTCACTAGATTAGCACCAAACAACCCAAATCGATAAGACCGTTAGGGCTCAAAACAACTACCAAGACCATCCTCATGCCTGAGAAGTCACAACCAAAAGATCGACAGGAATAGAAACACTACCATAAATCATGGTATCCAACCATGCAACCTTCCTCGAACAGCCCTTAGAATCCCCGTAACCTTCCTTGATTTAAGTATGGATCATGTGCTTCCAATAGTACACGCCCAATACTACGTTACACACTTATCCATACTTTCCTCATGTCATCTTGGGTCCTCTAGAACTTACTCATAATAACACTCCCGATACCAACTCAACAACAAAACAATCACACTAAAATACTTCCTAGGATCTCCTAGGATTCCCCCACCTCCCCTGCCATCGGCTGCTGAAGAACTCCAATTAATGTCAGCCAACCACGTCATGAATACAATTACGTGCAACTAAACTTAATTAATCTTTCGACCAAAGGAGCCAACCCTACAACGGTTAGACTCAAACGAGAGATGCGTAATAGGGTCGATTCTTTCACTCTAAGATTATATAACCTACTTATCATGTAACATAGTGTATTCACTTCATGGTCAGCTCACATCAATGTAAGTCCCACAAAGCACAAAGCAAGCATCATTCAAGCAGTTGAGTCGACTGGAACTAAAACACAATAAGATCAGAAAGATCCCCATACAAAATCCTCGATCACTAACTTCCTGCACCACGGGTGCACCTTCTTCTTGCTCTCACTCTCCCCAGAGTGGCTAATCATTCCTCACATTGACCCGCTTATACACTACACCCACTCATTAAACTTCCACCAACCCTACAACACTCGTGTATGCTAGCCATACGTAGCACTGGATCCTACAGACAGTTGATAACCTGATCCTACCCTAAGCCATTCATCAAACAAGAATAGGAAATAAGGCCAAACCAAACATTCTCAGGCTATAGAATCTTAGTTATGTACAACTATGATGGATACACTAAGAAACTACAATAATGTTGTTAATTTCATATAAGGAAGAACCATAGGCTATCATACATCATATAATCAGGCAATTCTATCATGCAATTCCTGAAGATCCCTAACTTATCACTAACATGT